CATCTTCCAAAGGACTGGCGTATCGAGGTCTCGCTAAACGGCTGGACTACCGATGAAATTAGCCTTCGGTGGCTACAGAAGCTATTTATTCCAGCGACAACGACACGTACGAAGGGGAAATATCGACTCTTGATTCTTGATGGCCACGGTAGCCATCTTACGGCTCAATTCGACCAGATCTGCACAGAAAATCATATTATACCCCTTTGTATGCCTCCGCACTCTTCGCATCTTTTACAACCGCTTGATGTTGGGTGTTTTGCTATATTAAAACGCATATACGGTCGCTACGTAAGCGATCTAGCTCGTGCGTCGTATAACCACATCGACAAATTCGATTTCCTCGCAGAGTACGCCCGGGCGCGCACAGAGGCCTTTCAACCTTATATTATTTAAAATAGCTTCGCTACTACTGGTCTTGTTCCGGTCGACGCAGATCGAGTGCTTTCGAAGCTCAATATCTCACTCCGAACGCCGTCGCCACCGAATAGCCGACCCTGCACTAGCTACAGCCAATTTAGCCCAAAAACACCCAGAACCGTCGTCCAATTACAAAAATCAGCTTCGATATTGAAGGATCTATTAAGATATCGGTCAAACAGCCCTCCGAGCCCATCAAAAACCGTACTAGATCAGATTATCAAAGGCGCTTGCATCTCGCTTCATGGGGCCGCACTATTAGCACAGGAAAACAGCGATCTACACACAGCGAATCAGAAAATACGCCAAAAACGCACACGATCTAAACAACAGATAGTGCACGAAGGAGGCCTTACGGTCGAAGAGGGCCTACAGCTAGTTCAGCAGCTAAATCAGCCAATTAAAGACACTCCGGTAGTAGCGCAGCCGCAGGGCGATGAGGCTATTCAACCAGCTCAGCCAATCAGAAGAGCTCTACCGAAGTGTAGTGGGTGCGGGCAGGTCGGACATAAGATTAATCATTGTAAAAACCGCTAGATTAAGGTCAAATTCATGTGTTTTGGTAGAGATATTAATATTCAAAATTTCCTAATGGGGTAGGGTGTCCAGGTTAACCGGGTGTCCAGGTTAACCGGGAATTACGTTACTAGTTCCTCCTTACCTAATCGACAGGCCCTCTACCCTATAAGTAGACCCCGTAACAATTTTTATAATTACCTAGTTATAAAATCGATCGCCGACTATAATATTTAGCCTTTATAACTACCTCTTATATAGATATAAGACCTATAGCGAAGCTAGTCTTATTGAAATTATAGATATCCTCTAGTTAGATATTTTTCTTATTAGTAATATATTAGATAGTTGTAAACTAGGCTTGTAGTAACTTTAGGTCTTTATTTAGGGTAAATTAGTGATTATAGTATTATAAGAAATATATATAAAGCTTATTATATTATTTTATAAAACTTAATAACTAATTTAGACTAATTATAGGTAGATAGTTTATTCTATATATAGCTAATAGAATATTAGCTATTTTTTGTATAATAGATAGCTTAGGGGCTACTCTATATAAATCTATAGAGAGTATCTATTTAGTAAGCGAATCATCTTCTAATTAGGTTAATTTATAGCTAGTTAGGTATATATTAATATATAAGCGTCGGCCGTTAGTATATACTTATAGTATCGAATATAGTATAGTATATAGCTTCGCTACTATATAGATTAATCTAATATAGCTATTTTAAAGAAGAAACTACTTCTTTCTATATAGACTAATAAGCTATAGGGTCTCTTAAATTAGTATAAGTATTACTAATTATATAAAAGCTACGCTAGATATTAAAGTTAGTATTTTATCTTTATCTAGATTAAATAGCCTATTAGATAGAAAGAGGGAGAGTATATCTAGGGTTATTCTTAAAGACTAATAAAAGATAATTATCGGAGAACTAGGATATCTAGCTCTAATATTTATCAATAAGTAGTATATAAGAGAAAGTAGGAAGTAAGACTAGGGGGTAATAGGAAAAATATATAATTATCTTTTTATCTAGGTAAATAAATAATTAAAGGGATTACTATAAGAGAAAAGTAATAGATAGATAATTTAAGATAAAACTAACTAGATTCTAGATAGTAATTAGCTAATAAAACCTAATCTACTATAGTCTTTATAGTCTAAGACTATAAGAACTACTAAAGGACTACTAAAAGACCTTAATAACTACTAAAAGACTACTAAAGGTCTATAGGGACCGCTAAGGGACCGCTAAAAAATATTAAGGACTTTAGAAAGACCTTAAGGACTGCTAAAAGACTACTAACCCCGACTTAAAGACTACTACCTCTACCTTAGGGGTAGTATATATAGATTTCTAATAGCTATTATAGCTATTAGAGAAGTAGGCTAAGGATATTAATAATATCTTAGTAAATAGCCTAGATTTCTAATAGCTATCGAGGATTTTATAACTAGGGAATTAATAGTATCTAGGTAGTAGATAGTATTAAATTCTAATAGCTATTAAAATTTCCAATAGCTATTAGAAATTAACACTAAGGATATTAGCTAGCTAATATATATTTCTAACTGTAAAACTAAGCAAACTCCTACCCCCTATAACCTCTCTACTAGAGTAGTAAAATACTTAAATTTTAGTTAGTTCTTATACTTTAATAAATAATATTCTAATATATAAGCTTATTTTACTTACTTTATTAATAACTAGGCCTAATTTATTATAAATATTAGTATATATACTAAAATAGTATTTAATAATAGTAATAAATATAGCTAAATTATTAGTTTATATAGCTAAAAAAGGAAGGTTTTAGTAGAACTATAAGTATATAGGGGGCTATATAGGGGACTATAAAGGACTATAGGGGACTGTAGTACGGTCCTAAGTACTTCGAAAAAAGACCAAGGACTAGAGGGCCTAGTCCTAGTCCTAAGATTTAGGACCAGACCCAGTCTTAGCGAGGTCTACTTAAGACTAAGCTATATAATATATATAATATATAGTATATAAATAATTAGTATATAACTAGGAAGCTTAAGAGATAAAATAGCCTCTTTAAGAGTAGTTAGTAGTATACTATTATTTAATATATTATCGATTATAATTATAAGTATACAATTAGTAATTTAATACTTCTTAAGTAGCCTAAGTAGAATACTACTTAGATAGGTACCTATATAAGAGTTATAGAGAGGTTTAAAGCTAAGTAGAATCTTAAGATAGTTCTATATAATATTAATAAAGTAGCTAGTAACTACTATAAATACTTAGCGAAAAAGAGAGGTCTAGTAATCTAATACTATAAAAAGCTTAGTACCTTCTAGGAGTATTTAAAATCTCTAGAGACTCTTAACATTCTAGAGGGCCTAGTCCTAGTCCTAATATTTAGGACTAGACCTAGTCTTTACTAAGGTCTAGTTAAGGAATATATTAATTATAGTATTATAGCTATTTAATATATTTATTATATATAAGATTAAATAGATTATTATATAATTACCTAAGGATCTAGTAAAGGTCTAACAGAGTCTAAAGTATAATATAATTATATAGAAGAGGTCTTATTAATAGACCCTAGCTTTATAGGTAATATATTTAAAATAGGTAAGATAGGCTATTAAGCTCTCTTTCTCTCTATAATAGATACTAATAAATTAAAAGACTATATCCTTTTCATAAGGATTTTAGTAAAAATATTTAAAATACTAGAGACTACTTCTAATATAGGGTTAGCTTTATATAAATATAAGATCAAGGCTTATAGGGATAGCTTAAGATAGTTATAAATATAATTAAATACTTATTAGCTAACTAAATTATCTAACTAGAGTTTTATATAAATAGCCAGTAGCTAGGTCTTTAGACTATATAGCTTACTATTAAATTATAGTAGATCTAGTAGTCTAAACCAAGGAGGGATAGGTATGAGGACCTTTAATTAGCGTTACTAATTTATAAGCTACTACTAGAGTTACTAGGTTATAGTGAAAAGGGGCTAATCTTAATCTATTTAGATATAAATATTGGAAACTAGCTAAAACTAGCTAACTAGGTCTAGTATAACTCGACCTTTTAATAAAAAATCGAGAAGGAAGTTTATTATATATAAAGGGCTATAGTTAAATTGATTTAATCTAACTAGGCCGTAAACTGTTGATAAAAAGCTTAAGGAGAGAAAGCTAGGAAGGGGAAGCAGAAGGAAACAAAAGGGGGCGAAAGGTCACGTGTAGTGCCACGTGATATTAGACGGGCGCTATCCCGTTATAAAATGAGTTGATTAAGCACAGTGGGGCAAAGATAAGGTAAGAATAATAAGTTGAGATTAATGACACTTGGGAGCCAGTTTCTTGGGTAAGACGGCTTATCTAGTATAAGAGATACTTTCTCCATAGGCGAAATCACGAGATAGGGCTAAATAGCTAGCGTATAGCCTAGAATAAATAACACAGTTGGGTCACGCTAGTGATGGGGTATATATGCAGGTTGTTGCCTATTAAAATTGGTTACTCCACCTATATTACCCGGCTAGCTAGCAACCAATTTTAGCCTAGTTTCTTAGCGCAGATTCTTTGTTATCTAGCCACACCCCCTATTTTCTATAATACACACCCTTTCGATCCATTAGTCTACACATTACTAGGCGTTACCCTTCTTTCAGTGTTCGATATATCTACCAGTATAGTCAATAGCGGAAAATTAGGAGAAAACACATTCAAACCTAGAGTGCGCCAAAAAACCACAAAACCGCAGTATACACTACTAGTACGGATGAGGTTTGCATCGTGGACTTGGGGGCGGAGACAAAATCTTCCCGAGGACGGCGCTTGCGTAAGGAAAACTTGAGATACACATTCACCTCCGGACGATCCGGTCATGAGTCACGTATCTTTATCGTTGTAGTCATATTTTAATAGGTCACGATAAGCTTGTAGTACGTATTCAAACTTACTTTCTGGTGTTTTTATAAGAAAATGTGCTCACCACCAACACTTCAGTGTTTATTCTCATATGATCGAAGTCCAAATACCATAGCTGAATAGGTTCAAAATTATGGCCAACAAGAACCTGACTGAGAGGAACGGCGTTGACCTCGAAGACCCTACGAAGCCCGAACAGCATGCCGATGTTCAAGAAATCAATGTCTCAGGCCATGTTCTTGAGTTACCCAAGGAATTCAATTTGGCCAGTGCTGTCGCCACTGGAATCACGACAGGTAACACATGGACGGCACTTGGAGGAGCCATTGTAAGCTTCCCAACCCACCAGTGTCGCTAACAATCACCTAACAAATTCAGATTGCTTCACTGTATAATGGTGGACCGCCAGGAATCATATACGAATTGTAAGCCACATGCTAATCTTCTAATATTTCCCTCGCTCACGGGCTCTCAGCATCGCCGTCTCCGTGTTTTACTGGTTTATTGCAGCTTCAATTGCCGAACTTGCCTCTGCGATTCCAGCCTCTGGAGGTGGTAAGCAGAGATTATCCCTATTCGAACAGGCTTTCACCTAATGGTGAAGTCTACTTCTAGTATACCACTGGGCAACTGTGACTGCCGGTCCTAAGTATGGCCGCATTTGTGGCTGGTTCGCTGGTTGGTTGAACTTCTTCGCCTGGTCATTTGGCGTGTCAGCCAATTGCTCTATAATTGGCAGCATGATTGTTTACGCGTATGCGCTCTTCCACCCTGGCTATGAGCCAGAGCGGTGGCATGTGTTCATTGCGTATCTTATCGTTTGCTGGGGCTGTTGCTTCACAGTCATGTTTGCCAATCGCTCTCTCCCTTATGTCAACCGGATTGGGTCTTTCTTGATTCTGGGGGGACTTCTGACGACTATTATTGTCTGCGCAGTTATGCCAAGCCAGAATGGTAGAGGATATGCTTCATCCAGCTTTGTTTGGAAGGATTGGAAGAACGGAACAGGTTATTCAAACAACGGGTTTGTATTTCTCGCGGGAATGCTGAATGGTGCCTTCGCAGTGGGAACTCCAGACTGCGTCACACATATTGCAGAGGAGATACCTCAGTACGTTATGACCACTCTTTTTCAATCATGACATTACTTACAAGTCTATCAGGGCTAGCAAAAATCTTCCCAAAGTCCTTGCATGCCAGGTCGTGGTCGGGTTCTTTACTGCCCTTTTATACATGATTTCCATGTTCTACGCGATCAATGACCTTGATGCGATCTTTCAAGCAGACTCGATTTGTCCGCTTGGAGAAATCTATAGACAAGTGACCGGTTCGAATGGTGGGGCTTTAGGTCTATTGATCGTCATTATTCTGCCCATAGTCTGTGCAACCGTTGGCTGCTATATTACGGCAGGTCGAACCCTTTACGCCCTCGCCCGTGACGATGCGGCTCCATTTGCCGACAGGATTGGGAGCGTCAGTCCTAAATGGAAGAGCCCCCTCTATGCGACCTTAGCCTGCGGCTTTATTTCGACAGGTATGGGGGCGGTCTATATCGGATCACTGGCCGCATTTAACGCATTTGTGGGCTCATTCGTCTTGCTCACGACGGTCTCGTTCCTGATAGCTATACTTCCCCACTTGCTCTCAGGACGGAAAAACATCACTCCTGGTCCATTTTGGATGGGCAAGGCTGGATATGTTGTCAACTTCATAAGCTGCGTCTATATCGTGGTTTTCTTTGTGATTTACTGCTTTCCTTACGCCTTACCCACGTCGGCTGCACAAATGAATTACACCAGCGTGATTACAGTTGGATTGGTTATTCTGGTGGCAACCTGGTGGTTTATTCATGGCCGAAAGAGCTACGTTGGACCCCAGATAGTTCCGAAACCATAGGAGTGAGTTCCTTAGAACGGAAAGCTAGCATGGGCTGTCACTTTGCAGGAACGGAACCATTTCTATGGCTAATGAGCCATGGCGAAGCAGAGCTTGAGTTGGATGCCTATTGTGATAGTAGAGTATTATAGTCATTGCAATTCTCAGTACTCTAATGATTCTTTCTCTGCAATGATTTATCGTTGGGTTTGAAAAAAGGAACGCTCTAGAGAGGTCAACGTTTATAAGTTAGATAGAGATGGTGTCAACCTACGGATTCGGTGTATCGACTAGTATTCGACATGTCCAGTTGAAATTGTGTTGATTAAAGTGTGAGGATCCTTTAAGAGATCCTCAGGGGTAATATTCCGATGTATTACTATACTATACTTCCAGGATTACAATACAATACTTTAGTGAAATGGGGCGGATAATATATCGGACTTGACAGTATCTATACAGACTAGTAAGGGAGACGTCTAATAGGAGTGTGATAAATCAGATTGATTAATAATAATTTTTTTCAGCAGAAAAGACCAAGGGAGGAAGCTATTTAAAGCAACCCCCTAGGCTCGTGTCTATATAGCCGAGACTTGGTTATTACAAACCCTGAGTTCACATATGAAGCAGAATTACGTACGAAAACAGAATTATAGTAAGACCTCGGCAAGGACCGCCTAGGACCGGACCGCACCATGCAGGGCTTGGTCCTGACATTTTTAGGACCGCACCACTACGGTCCCGGTCCCCTATATGGTCTTATAAATAAGATAAATATAGAAAATTATATAGTTTATATATAATTTATATAGAGATTATATAACTTTTAGCTAACTAGTAGCCCAAATAGGAAGGTCTTAGTAGAATTATAAATTTATAGGGGACCGTACAGGGGACCGTAGTACGGTCCTGACTACTTTGAAAAAAGACTGTCTAGACCTGGTGTTTGCCGAGGTCTAATCATAGTAAGAGAAGTGCGCTCTTAATAAATAAGCTGGTCTTATAGGATGCACGTGGGTAATCCTAAACTCGATAGATAGTTAAGGAAGAATGCATAACTTTAAAGTATAATTTTAGACTAAAAGATTAACAAGTCTTGGAAAATATATTTAATCCTATAATGAAGGCCTCTTTCTATAACCTTATTTTCTGAAGTTTTTTTGGCTATATTACTAGTTTTCTAATGGCTATTAGAAATTTAGGAATATAGGTAATTTAGCTATTATATTGTCTATTCTAGCAGCTATTGGAAGATCCCTGCTATTTAGCTATAGATTAGCCTAGTTAATAGCTACGAGAACTCTAGTAATAGTATAACAGATCATCTCTGGGTCACATGATTATTCGCTTTAACCAAAAGGACCACTATGTCAACCATCAGGTTAATATGCTCAGGACTAATATATATAGTAGCGCATAGTTATAAACTTAACCCTTTATAACTATCTAGCCATTTTGACTATTTAGTTATGCCCTTTAGCCCAACTAATATACTAGCCATATTTTAAAGTTATGTATATATAGCGCTTTAAGGCCTTCTCGATATTATCTTAATCTTTTTAAAAGATCGAGAATCTTATACTAAATATATCTATTATCTTAGAATAGATATGCTAGGTAGAGCTATTTATAAACCCCTTAAAATATACCTTCTACTAAGATATAATAGAATTTCTTGGTTTTGTTATTAGATATAGAGGTATTTTGATAGATAAATAGCGGGTAGATATTATTAAATTATAGGAACTTCCTAATATAAAGTTATTATTTAAGTATTTCTTAGATTTTATAATTTCTATTATCGATTTATCCTATATTACTCTCTTATTATACTATCTCTAATAGATTTACTAAAAAGTAGTAAAAACAGGAGAAACCCTAGCTTGGTTAAATTAAATATATATAAAAAAATAGCGTTTCGACGCCTAATTACGATACTTTAATTAGTATTATTACTATAGTATTTTAATCTAATAAAACTAATTAGGCTAGAAATAGATATATTAGATTATAGTATATCTAGTATATTATTTTAAGAGAGTTAAGATAAGTGCTATTATACTATTATCTTTTAGTTAAGAAAATTTAATAGAGCTAAATTATATTATTTAATACTAGATTAAGAGCTATTTACTATTATTTTATTATTTAAATACTAGTAATATTATTTTAAAGATTATTTATATCTTATTAAAGTATTATTAGATTATTAGCATCTATAGGGAGTTATATACTAAACTAAGTTAATAGAGAGATAAGTTTATTAGTATATATTTTTATCTATATTTAATTTTATAATTATTTACATACTAAGATAAACCTTATAAATAGACTATTAAGAAAGATAAATGTAGCTTTTAAAGAAATTAAAAGCGTAGATCTATTACTCCTAATTTATAACTATTTAATTACTAAAATACTACTAAAGTAATTAGTAATTACATAGAATTATAAAATATAACTCCATTAAACTATTTAGCTAATAAATCCTAATTAATATTAGAAGATAATATATTATCTTAAAATATTCTATCTAATTAATAGAATAACCTTAAGAGATTAGTAGTATATTAAGCTATATAAGAGGAACTAGATTATATCTAAAAAATCCCTTTTAAATTAGTATAGAATAAATATATACTAAGATAGGAATATATATTTAGCTAAAACTAATATTAATCTTTATCTAATCTAGTATATCTAGGCTAGGGATAAAAAGTATTATTACTAAATAACTACTATTTTATAAAAGAAAATAAGATAAAAAGATTAGATAGTTAATCCTAAAGAATTATTTTATTTTAAAAATTAGTTATATATCTCTATAAAAAAACCTTAAGATATAAATAATTAAGTTTTTACTATAAAGATCGATTAATAGACTATTATAGCTAAAATAAAACTAAAATATTACTACATTAGAATCTTTATTAGATAAATCTTTAGTAAGATATTACTAAATATATTAAAATATATCTAATTTACTAAAAGATATTAATACTAAGATACTAGCTATAACATAATTCCCGCCCGACCTAGCTACCTGCCTAATCTAGCCACCCTATCCAAAAACGCGTCTTCCTAACTACCTACCGAATTTAACTACCTACTATACCGCCAAAACGCACTAAATTAGTGTAGAAATCGGCTAATTAAGATGGCAAGATCTTATTAGCCCTTGTTGATATTAAAAATAGCTATATTCAGTCTATCCGTATAGTAGCGAAGCTATATATAATACTACGTTTAACGCTATATATATAGCTATTTTATAAGCGATCTAGCTTGTATATTATATAATTATATTAATAAATTTAAATTCCTCGCTAATTACCGTTTGATATATATAGAGGCCTCTTAGCTATATATTATTTAAAGTACCTTCGTAGTTACTAGTCTTATTCTAATTAACCTAGAATAGGTACTTTTAAAGCTAAATATCTTACTTAAAATACTATTTTTACTAAAAAGCCGGCTAACTACTAGCGATAGCTAATATAGCCTAAAAATACTAAGAACGATTATTTAACTATAAAAATTAGCTTCGCTACTTAAAGATCTATTAAAATAATAGTTAAATAGCCCCCTAAGCCCTATAAAAACTATTGTCGATTAACTTATTAAAGGCTACTACTAATCGCTTTATTAGGTAGCGCTATTAGTATAAGAAAATAGCGATCTACGTATAGCTAATAAGAAAATACGCTAAAAACATATATAATCGAATCGGTAGATAGCTTACGAAGGAGGCCTATTAGTTAAAGAGGGTTAATAGCTAGTTATATAGCTAAATTAGCTAGTTAAAGCTAATAGGGTTATATCGTATAAGTAGGCCGATAAGGCTATTTAACTAGCTTAGCTAGCAACTAGGGCTCTACCAAGGTATAGTAGGTATAGGGAAATTAGCTATAAGATCAATCAATATAAAAATTGTTAGATATAGCTAAATTGATGCGTTTTGGTTAATATATTTGAATTCAAAAATTTCTAATAGGGTGGGGTGGCTAGGTCGGGCGGGTAGCTAGGTTGGGCGGGAATTACATTATAGTAAACTAGAATTACTACTAATTCCTAGCTATCTATAGAGTAAAATCACTATAGATTTTATTATTATTAGTCTTCTAGAGATAATTTTTAAAAGAAAGAATATAGATATTAATCTTAATTATTATAGATAGATTTATAAAAATAGCCTATTTCTTCTTTATTATATCTTAGATAACTATAGTAGATCTTATTAAATTATTCTATAATAAGATTAAACTAAAATTCAGGCTTCTAGATAGAATCATATTAAATAGTGGCCTAATATTTACTAGTAAGTTTTAAAGTAAAATATATTATCTATCCTATATAACACTAAGATTTTCAATAGTATTTTATTTATAAACTAATAGCTAAATAAAATAAATAAATTAAATTTTAGAATACTATTTTTACTATTTTACTAATAATAAATAGTTATTATAGCTAAAATTACTAATAATAATACTATAAATATAATATTAAGAAAATATCTTTTAAAGAGGTTCTAGTAATATTAGACTATATTTAGAAGCTAGAAAAACTTTATAAAAATCTAAAAGGTTAGTAATAAAAAGCTACTAATACCTAAATAAAATATTTCAATATATATTATATCTTATTAATGTTAAAATATAAAGATCTTATCTAATTATCTATTAAGAATCTTAAAGTTAAAATTTTCTCTTAAAAATCTATTCCTAAGTTTATTAGACTATTTTAGATTCTAAATTCTACTAGAAAATAAGTATATTATCTTACATTACTAAACTAATACTTAAAACTTTATAATATACTTTATATATCTTATCTTAAACTAGATAGAGTAATAAGACTAAAATAATAATAAATTATTACTAATACTAAAGCTAAAAATAATATTGAATAGGAAATTAAAGAAATTAAGAAAAAGAAATAATTATATAGTAATTCTTATTTTCTTATTAAATAGAAAAGTATATATAGCCTTTAGAATATAAATAATAGATATCTAAAGA